AAATCTTTTCTTATGCCAATGTCTTCAAGAGTTCTGCCTAACTTATCTTCCAGCAAGTTTAGTGTTTCTGTTTGAATGTTTAGATCCTTAATCCACTTGGATTTTAATTTAGTGCATGGTGAAAGATAAGGGTCCAGTTTTAATCTTTGGCAGGTTGAAATCCAGTTTTTCCAACACCATTTATGAAAGAGGCTATCTTTCCTCCACTGAGGATGGTCAGCTCCTTTGTGAAAGATGACGTAGCTGAGTACATGTGTTTTTTTTTTGTGTGTGTCTTCCAATCTGTTCCACTGATCCTCAGATCTGTTTCTTTGCCAGTAGCACGCTGTTTTATCACAGTGGCTTTGTAGTATAGTTTCAGATTGGGAATTGTTATACCCGCTGCCATGTGTCTGTTGCCTAGGATGGCTTTTGCTATTCTGGGTCTCTGATGGTTCCAAATGAATTTTTGGATTCTTCTTTCTAGTTCTGTGAAATATAGTGTTGGGATTTCAATCGGTATTGCATTGAATCTGTATAGCAGTTTTGGAAGTGTGGCCATTTTCACTATGTTGATTCTTCCTACCCAGGAGCAGGGGAGATCTTTCCATTTTGTTATATTTTGAATTATCTTTATTCCTTATGAAAAATAAAATATACAAAATATCTTGGTGGGTGTCCCATGCCTCAGCTGTTTGGAGTGCTGAGGCAAAAGGATTATACATTTGAGGCAAGCCTGGGCAACTGAGCAACACTACCTCAAAATAAAATAAAATAAAATAGTCTGGAGATGTAGCTCAGTGCTCGAGTACTTGACTAACATGCATGAAGTCCTAGGTACAATCCCCAGTACTGCAAAAATTTAAAATAAATATAGTAATTAAAATATCTCTTTAAAATCATTTAGAAGACATATTTCATATATTTTTATTTTGTTGTTGTTGTTTTGTTTTTTGAGACAGAGTCTCACTATGTAATTGAGACTGACCTGGAACTCACTGTGTAGCCCAGGCTGCTCTCAAAGTCACAGCGATCCTCCTGCCTCAGCCTCTGAGTGCTGGGATTACAGGTGTGTGCCATCATGCCCAAGCGGCTATTTCATATATTTCTATTGTAGCTCATAAAACTGCCTTTATTAAAAAAAGAATTATGGGCCAGGGATTTAGCTCAGTGGTTCTGCTGCCTTCTTCGAAAGAGCAAGGTCCCAAGTTTGATCCCCAGTACTAAAAAAAAAAAATAAATAAACTAAAAAATAAAAAAAGAATTCCAATATTGCTGTTTCAAGCTTTTAGGATTAAAGGATATTGATAAAATAAAAATAAATATTATTCATTATAGTAACTATTTTACCTTAGTGGTAGCATTTTGCTAGTTTCTGTCAATTATTTGTTTTAAGAAAGTCTTACTTCCATATATTTATCAAGGCAGAGAATAGTTTTTAGTATTGAAATTATGGTCAGATATAGCATTTTTAGCTCTAGCTTTTGGCTTTACTATTATAACACTAGTGCAAGTTTGTTCCCCAGTCAGACTTTGGTTTAATCCTGGCTATTTTGTTTACCTGCTGTGTTACTTAACCTTTCCCATTTTCTGTTTTACGAGCAAACATCATAATATCTACCTCGTAGGGCTATTTTGAGTACTTAGCTTAGTGCTGTCACATAAGTGCATAAGATTAATAGTTGACTTCTCATCTCAGAAGAGAGATTAAGCATTCTGAAGAGAATTCTGAAGCATTCTGAAGGGAGAATTAAGCATTCTGGTGTCAGGAAGCATAGGCATGGGACAGCATCAAGAATCTACAGGGCAGATTTAGGAGGATGCAGTTTTCATTGTTTTCCATCAAGATCCAGATTCCTAAAGAGATAATGATCATCTCAGTTTTGGTAACAAGGCACTGTGGCCTGCAGGTTGGGACTTCCATTGAGACTGACAGAAGGAAAGGCTGAATAAAAGAATAGTGGTAGTTGCACAATCAGTACATACTGCCTACTCCTATTACTGAAATATGTTTTTAGGAATAGGAAAAGGGCCTAGTCTTTAGAGACGAAGGAAAAGATAGTTTTTCTCATCTTTTGTTATACCGTTTCCTTGTCAGTATTCCCCCATTAAAAGCAGAAAAACTTTTGTGTATGGGTGGTACCGGGGGTTGAACTCAAAGTCTTCATAATAAGCTACATTCCTACTCTTTCATTGTTTTGAGTCATAGTCTTACTAAATCATTAAATTGCCCAGGCTGATGTGGAACTTGTGATCCTTCTTCCTTGGTATTACAGCGTGCTAGAATTACAGTCATGCAATACCAAGCCTGAGTTAAAAAAAATGTTTTTGAGATCTAAGAAAGGAATAAATTCTTTCAGAATTGTCCTAATTTGCTAACTGTATTTAAATTCTTTTCGGAGAATTAATTTCAATAATATAAGCTTTTGGGACCAGGGATTTAGCTCAGTGGCCCTACACCTGCTTTGGAAAGTGCAAGGTCCTGAATTCAATCCCTGGTAAAATAAATAAATATAAATAAAATAAATTGAAATAAATAATATTAAGTTCTTGGAGGACAGTGAAATAAATAGTTTGCATAAATTTGTTGATTACTAACGTGGTTAACTTTGTTCTTAATTTTTAAGGAACTGAAACAGAACCGAAGCCAGGAAATTGATGACCATCAACATGAAATGTCAGTATTACAGAATGCACATCAACAGAAACTGACAGATATATGTCATCGACATCGAGAGGAATTAAGCAGCTATGAAGAACGAATTGAAGAACTTGAAAATCTATTACAGCAAGGTTATTAGTCTCCTTAATTTCACATGTGATTAAATGACAAACTTAGCACTCTGAGACCAGGACACTGTAGTAAGTGTAGACTAATTTCTAAATAATGAGGGAATGACTAATTTTGCTCATTTGCCAAAAATTTCTAGGGACACACTCCTTTCAAGATTGAAATAGAAAAGTTGTTCTGCTTTTTTGGTAAACAGGTTCAATTCATAGATGAGTTTGCATTGTCCGGTGATGATACTTTGGTAGTAAATGATTACAGATTTTTTTACTTTCAAACTCAGACACATAGGCTTTTTACTAGTTGATTCAAATAATATTTCTTCGGGGCCGGGGATATAGCTCAGCAGTTCTGTCACCTGCCTCACAAGCACAAGGACCCGAGTTCGATCCCCGGTACCAAAAACAAAAACAAACAAACAAATAATATTTCTTCAACTTTGTATTTCTTTAAAAGTGCTCAGGCCACTGTGTTCCCTCTTTCATGATGACCGCCCTCAATCTGTAGGGTGTACTTCCTTTCCTACTTTTACTTGTCCTAGACTTGCTCTGCAAGCGTGTTTCTTTTCCTACCTTTAATAAAACTTTCCTACTGTTAGAAAAAATGCTTAGTTCATTATAGCAATTTAACTTTTTTTTTTATAGACTTTACAAATTCTGAACTCTTAAATCTGATAGTTTGAATATAGGAAGATATTTGACATCCTTCATGTTGTTTTTGTTCTAGGTGGCTCAGGAGTTACAGTAACTGATAACTCTAAGATGTGTGAAATGCAGAAAACCATTCAGGTTCTACAAACTGAAAAAGTGGAGTCTACAAAAAAAATTGAAGAACTTCAGAATAAAATGAAAGACATAAATAAAAAATTATCTTCGGCAGAAATTGACAGAGACACCTTGAGGAGAGAACAAGAACAGCTAAATATGGAAAACAGACAAATAATTGAACAGTGTGAAAGTTTGAAACTGGAATTGAAGAGTTATGCTATGGAGCAAAATGATACTGTGACAGGAAAGGAAAGAGCTCTTCCACAGAGTTCCTCCAAGGAAGAAGTGTTTAGACCACAAGCACTGTCTGGTATAAAATGTTTGGAACTTTTTCATTGGGTTGTTTTAGAAGTATAACACTTGACTTGTTGAATACTTCATGAAAACGGAGCATTTGTAGAAATGACTGTATAATTTAATTAGTGTTGTTTGGTTTGGACTCAGTGCATAGTTAATAGATCACAAATCGAATTTTCTATTAAAACGATTAAGTATTGGTTAGGTGTCTTTCAACATCCCTTCTTTATTCTTTAGGTATTTATATGGAAGTCAGTGATGTAAGAAACTATGTAGATTTAGCCAGGTATAATGGTAGATGCGTGCAATCCCAACCTTTGGGAGGCTAAAGTAGGAGGATCACCATGAGTTTGAGGCCATCTTGGGCTAAACAGCGAGTTCAAGGCCAGCTTGAACTACATGCTGAGGCCCTGTGTCCAAAAACAAAAATAATAGAAAGACCACATAGATTTCTGAGAAATCTCGTGTACATAGTCACTTGTGGGGAAGTATGGGTCTGTTTCTTTTACTCTATGTGGAACTGAATGCTTTCTGTAACTCATCAGAGCCCAGACTCTTTAGGTAGGGAATGCAGATTTCATCTTTAAAAGTGGATTGGTACCTTTTGAAATGATCGCCTGTATCAAAGCAAAGGCGTAAGTGAAAAGTATAATAGGTCTTCTACCATTTTCTATGTTCAAGATGATATTTAGTTACTCTACCAGTATTCTGTGGTACAAAAAATACGTATTGAGTGAAATAGGCAAAATACCAATATTCATTCACATCAGGAAAACATAATAGAAGCTGTTTGGCTGAAAAGGTGCTTTTTGTTTTACACTGTGTCCTTTCTTCACAATAAAAATTCTCACTTTTATGAACTCATTCATCCTGTTGAAGAATTTTCCAGCCTTTGTGCTTGTGATCCTCCCTCAGCTGTATCTCTTACCCAGTTATTTATCATGAACTTCTGATCTGGATGGCCAACTTTCCACAAATCACATGGATTTTCAAACTAAGTTTCAAAATAAAATAATCATTTCTCTCTTCCTTTCCCAGCCTAGTAGCATTTACTAGTCTCTCAAAGCAAAACACCAGAAATCATCACAGAGGGACTTGCTTCTCCCTCCTTGAGTGATGTTTCAGGATTGTGTCCCAGAGGAGCTCCAGGGTTTCTCACAGGTGCATCAGACCTAGAGCTGCCATGATGGCCAAGGGAAGGCAGTGCAGTGGGGTTCTGGATGTCGTTTTCACTTGACTTAAGTTCTAGTAGCTCTACTCTTTTATAAAATAAACATATATCCTATTGGATGGTTCTTTAAGTTTATTTGGTCAAAAACCAAACTACTCCCCTAGTCCTTCCCCTCTTTTCCATTTTCATTTTCACAGAATTCCTTCAGTTGGTCATAATTGCTCCTTTCTTTTGTAAACTGTGGCCGATCTCTTAATGGAGCAGAATAGGACAGTGGTTAAGAATAAGACTAGGCTTTATCTTAGTCACTAAATAGCTGAGCTGACTTTGTGACTTTGTTTACATCTCTCTACCTTAATGTTTTCATTTCAAAGTTCTTTTTAGGATGGTACTTGGCCAATAGCGAGTGTTGGAAAAGTGTTAGCTGTTTTTATTGTCTGCTTTTTTGGTGGGAGGGTACCAGGGATTGAATTTAGGATTTGTGCTTGAGAGGCTGACATGGCACCACTAAGCTAAATCCCCAGCCCTTTTATTCTCTGCTTTTCATGATTTCTTTTTCAAACAATTTTTTAAAAAAATTCTGCAGTCAGAATAAATTTTCTGAACCACAAAGCAGCTTACTCTCCTGCTTTTATTATGGTAGGGCTTGCTGAGAACTTCAAAACGCCTAAATTTACATATTGTTGGACACATAATATCCTTTTTGACCTAGTCCCTCTCTGCCTCTTCAGTTTGTATTCTCATTCTCCTACCATCCTAAGGCTTTGACCATATTGAACTTTGAGTAGCTCCTTAATGTATTCTGTTAGCTCTGTGCCCTTGGTATTTGCCTCCTTCTCTGTGTGGAGTATCCCTACTTTTCTTTTAGCTAGTTCTTAGTTTATTGATTTAGTGAAGGTACAGTATTACCTCTACTGGGAGGTACCTGTTCTGCCTTTTCTCTGCCTCATTTGCTGCCACCCATCTGGACTCTGTTTGCCCTTTTTGCTCTCATGATACCTTGTGTTTGCTGTTCCACATTGTATTGCAATCATGTGTTTGCTTGTTTTTCTTCCCCTCTGAGTTGTAAGCTCTTTGACAGCCAGTTTTTTATCAAGTATTTTTATTTGTTGTCTAGGCCTGGCCTCATGGTAAATAGTCACTGTTTCCTCAGTGAATGTGAAATGAATTACTCCAGCTAAGCTCATGGTATTCTGTCTCTGTGTTCCTCTTCTGGAACCCTTTCTATTTATGTTTCTATATGTAATGTATTCATATCTAAACCACTGGCTAATTGAAAAATTATTATATTGTTGTGCTATAAATATACAGTCATTGCTTTTTTTTAGATTTATTTTCCTGTTAAATCTTAGACCATATACTATTTCTAGCCATCCAAACTAATGACCTCATTTTGAAACATACCTGTATTTTTATTAAGGCAATAACTTGACTCATCTAGCATACAGTTATAATTTGTTCTCACTCTTCACAGAATTGGATTGTAACATGGTTTTTAACTGACATTTGCGTTATGGTTTCTTTTATATGATCAAACTAGAAATATAAAATGACAAAATATATTTCTTATAAAACTACTAATTCCTGCCAATTGTGCTTATAAATATTCTTGATTTTAATAGGGTTACACTTTTGAGTTTAATATGGCAGATAGTTATTAAGATATTCTAAATTTTAATGTCAGTTCATTTACTGTTTTTACAGATGCTGAAAATGAAATGAAACTGAGTAGTTTGAACCAGGTAAACTCTTGTTATAAAAGAAAGGTTCTGGCAATGGTTAACTAAGAAGACATATTTTGTACTATATCTATTTTTTCTTTATTTTTTCTAAAAAAATCCATGTAAACTTACCCTAGGAACTTTCATTTTAGCAACTTTATTTGCTGGTTATTCTCAAACATAAACTCTTTTTGCACCATAAATCAACATATGTTTAAAAAGTTACATAATTGGAAAATCTTCTTGAGATTAGTTTGGCAAATGTTACATATGTAGGGGCAGTAGAAATACATCCTATACCAAAGTGAATACATTTTAATTTTCTTTAAAGGATTCAGAGATTTGCTTTTTCTAGCAATTATTAGTTATTTTGTAAATATATTTCTATAGTTTTTCAAATAAAGTAATCTTCTATAAGTGTGAAATGAGTGCCTGGGTCTAAATGATCCAATGTTCCAGTTTTCTAATTTTTAGATATCACTGAACAAGTACTGAGTAAAAACGCACAGTTCTATACATAGTCTGCTGCCTTTTCAATTGGAAATTTTTTCTTATCTGAAAATGTTGCTTTAATATTTTTGCAGGATAACAATCTTGTTGAAGACAATATGAAATTTAGAATGCATATTGAAGCCTTAGAAAAAGAGAAGTCATTGTTGAGTCAAGAAAAGGTGGGTGCTATAAAAGTGGGGACAGAATTAAAATGGGGTTTGTGCGCTAGTTTACAGCTAAGGACCAGTTTATTTAAAAATGGAAGGCATAATTATAGAGTCACAAGGATAAAGCTGATCTCACTGACACTTGTCAGGCCAGGTTGAAGTAAGTCCCTGGGCAAGGTTCAGAGTTTGAGAGGCTGACCAGTGTGTACGTCATGAGATAAGTCATGATGCACACAGATATGAGTAGAAAAGATAGCTAAAGGCCTGGTTTTGGTTCTTGTGAAGTCCTGTATGTAGCAGCATACACAGGTGGGTCTGGAGGTATGGAGTATAGGTGCTGTTACCATACCCCAGAGTGTATCTGTCATGGTAGATAGCAATTTCTTATTGATGAGGGGCAAGATGGATAGTGAGAGAGGGGTAAAGATGGATAGTCATGTGTGTGTGTGTGTGTGTGTGTGTCGGCAGCAAGGGTGGGATAGGATTCTACAGTGGTGTTCTACTCTGAGATAATTCTTTATGACAGGTGCTTAAATACAGAATAATTAAAAGCTGGTGTTGAGTTAAAAGTCATTATTTCAACTTCATTTTTTTTCATTAAGTTTATTGGTACATTTTAGGCATATAGTAGAGTCACATTCATCGTTGGGATCTTGTCCCTTTACATGAAGTATCTTGGTTCTTATTTTTTCCCCATTCCCCTGCCCTCCTTTCAAACCCCCTCCCTATTTACAAAGACTTTGTTTCTATTTTTTTCCTTTTCTCATATTTTCTCCTTTCCCTTCTTTCATTTTCCCTACCCCTTTCACTTCCCCTACCCCTTTTGACTTTTTCTTCCTATTTCACATTATCAATTATACATTTTGATCCTTAATTACACTTTTAGTTTCTCATACCAGAGAAACTATTCAGTATTTACATGTGTGTCCTATTTATTTCACCTAAAGTATCACCTCAATGTGCATCCAGTTAAGTATAAATGTCTCTAGTTTCTTGTTTTTTATGGCTGAGTAGTACTCCTTTTTAAAAAAAAAAATCACATCTTCTTTATCCAGTCTCCAGTTGATGGACAATTGGGCTGTTTCCAAGCTTTAGCTATTACAAACTGTGCCGCTATAAACATGAGTGCACAAATATCACTGTGGTAGGATTCTTTTAATTCTTTTGGGAAGATAACCAGCAGAGGAATAGCTGGGTCAAATGGGACCTCTAATCCTAGTTGTTTGAGGAATCTCCATATTAGTTTCCACAGTGGTTGCACCACTCTGCACTCCCACCAACAATGAAGAAGGGTTCCTATTTCCCCACAACCCTGCCAGCATTTGTTATTGGTTGATTTCTTGAAGCAGCCATTCTTTTTGGGGTGAGGTGGAATCTCAGTGTTGTTTTCATCTGTATCTATCAAATAACCAGTGATGTTTAATATTTTTTCATGTTTATTTGCTGCTTTTACTTCTTCATTTGAGAAATGTCTGTTCATTTCAGATGCCCATTTTTGAGTCAGGTCTTTAAATTTGGGGGGTCTGATTTTTTAAAGTTCTTTGTATATTCTCCTTAGTAGTCCTTTGTCTGAGGATCTGCTGGTAAAAATTTTTTCCCACATTGTAGGTTGTCTTTTAGCTCTGTTGGTGGTTTGTCTTGCAGTACAGAAGCTTTTTAATAAGATGAGATCCCAGTTGTTGATTTTTTGTGCTAGTTCCCATGCTACTGAGGATTTGTTCATAAAGTCTTTTCCTTTGACAATATATTCAAGAGTTCTACCTAACTTGTCTTCCAGCAAGTTTAGTGTTTCTGTTTTAATATTTAGATCTTTAATCTACTTCAATTCTAGTTTAGTGTATGGTAAAAGATAGGGTCTAGTTTTAGTCTTTGATAGGTTGAAATCCAGTTTTCCAACACCATTTATTAAAGAGACTATCTTTCCTCTTTGTCAAAGATGAGGTAGCCGAGTATGTCTGGAGTTGTTTCTGCATCTTTTAATCTATTCCACTGATCCTGGCGTCTGTTTCTTTGCCAGTGCCATGCTGGTTTTATCACAGTGGCTTTGTAGTATAGTTTCAAGTTGGGGATTTTGATACCCTGTGTCATATCTCTGTTGCCTAGAATTGCTTTTGCTCAAATATTTCACATCTTTATCAGCAAGATGTCAACTACAAGTTCTTCCTGGTTTAGTCTGGTAATACTATCTTCTAAAACCCACCACTGGACTTTTTCTGTTATCCCCATTGAACACCCTGCTGCCCAGGTGTGATCAGAGGTGTCTCCTGGGAGGTCTCAGGCTGCAAAAATACTTTAGATCTATATAAATCCTATTTGGCTCCATTCCTTTCTTGACCTGTGCCCTATTCATGCAGTCAGGGACAGCTGAGGGTATGACACTGATTACAGAGCACAAACTCAGACAACACACTGCTGTTATCTCTTGCAGCCTTGGCCCCAGCTGGGTCTGGAAGAAAACAGGCTCTCATGAGACTTGTAGGAGTTGCTATTCCATAGCATTCTTAAAAATGACATAATATTCCAGAATACTTATACACAAAAATTATTGAAATGGACCCCTACAATAAGATATCTAGGCTATTTTCAATATTTTCTTATTAGAAATACTGTGCTTAAGAGATATAAATCATTATGCACATTTCCATTTCTTTAGAATATATTATTGAAACCTAATGTCTTAGTCACTTTTTTCTTCACTGGGACAAAAATACCTGACACCCATAACCTAAGGAGGAGAGATTTATCTTCGTTCACAGTTATAGTCCATGGTCAGCCAGTGTGTTAGTTACTTTTCTCTCATTGCTGAGGCAAAATACCTGACACCTGAAGTTGGAGGAGAAGGGGTTTATTTGGCTCACAGTTCATAGAGTTTTCAGTCCAGAATTAGCTGGCTCTGAGGCTAGGATGGCAAACAAGTATCTCAGAGGAGAAACAACACAGTACACATATGGTAGCAAAGGCAGCGAATTTCAATGTACTTTAAATCCTTAATTTTTATGTAGTAATACATATTTACTGATGTATGTATTCCATAATACATACAGAAGAATGGAGAGGAGTAGAGTATCTTTTACACCCCCATTGCTTGATATCACTCCCAGAGACAGTCCCTTACCAATTTCTGGCACATCTTTCTAGACTATTTGAATGCATGTTATGATTATACCTATAAATCACTTTAAAGAAATACCAATGTCAGCATACTGTACCTATTGCCCTTACGTACCCTAGCATTTCATTTTCAACATTTTTCCATATTAATATATAGGCAGCATTTAAATGACAAAATATTAGTTTTGTGTAGTGTCCTATACATTCTGGGGTATTTGGCACCACTGTTTTTATGCACTAAAGGCCACTAGTGTCTCCCAGTCATTTTTTTTTCTTCTCATTGAGTTTATTGGTACATTTTATGTATACAGTACAGTTATGTTCATTATTGGGATCTTGTACCTTTGCATGACAGGTCTTGGTTCTCATTTTCTTCCCCTGTCCCTGCCCTACCGGTCATTTTTTATTACTATCTTATATGTATCTCTTTGGGTTCTGTTCCCATTGCATTCTGCTCTTTAACTGACCTAGGTATACTTTGTAATTTGCAGAACTTTCTGCATATATCTGGTAGGTCCTACAACCTTTCCATGATATTTTTGGATTCTTTTTTCTTTGTTTTTTATTAATGTGTTTGTGATACATAATAAATTCATCATGGGGAATTGATACATATACTTATTGCATTTTGATCCTTTAGCTTCCCCTTTCCCTCCCTCCTATTATTTTGGATTCTGTAGCCATTTCTGATGGCTGTTTCTTCTGTCTTTTAATGTTTATTATTAGCCCACTGTACCTCTTCCTGAATTGCATCTGTCATAGGCCTCCTTACTGTTTAAGAAAGCCAAAAGTGTATGTGTTTTTCAGAGCCTCCTGAGAAAAGCCTTTGTGGTTCCCTTAATGAGCACATAACTTTAGAGAATGTTATTTCCATCTTTCAAATATAATTCAGAACAAACTTTTGAGCTGAAAAGAAGTAAGAATTTTGATGCAGATGTTCTAATACAGTTTTCCTTGGTCTCTTTTATAAGGTATTATTAGGCTATTAGAATTTGAGATTCTTGAAGTAAATTACAGAGAAGTTTGATTCTTAAAAATCTTTATCAGTGAAAGAAGGCTTTGCAAATATCATAATCAAATGTTGAAATAATGTTAAAATACAGAGAACTATCCCACTTCTAGGAATTTGAAGAAAAACATTAAATATAAACACTAAGTAATAGACTCTAAGCTGCATGTACAGATCCCAGTTTGGAATGTCTTGTCTGAGGGAGGAGAGCCTAGTCTGTGCTCAATTAGAAAGAGAAGGAAGGAAGGAAGGCAATTTCCTGCATCAAGAGAAATTTTCATGTTCTGACAAAAGCAATAACATAAATTTCTTTGGTGAAGGAAAAGCCTTTTGTTTTCTAATTAGAAAAGATTAACTTTAGCGTGAATGAATATTGATTTTTTGTTTTTATTTAAACTGTTGCTGTTGGATATTGGATGTTGGAGAGAGTTGGAAGTGATGAAAATTGGGAGACTCGAGCTTCTTGAAAAGTCTGTATGGTGGGGTTGGGGAGAAGAGAAGCATCAGTGTGAGTGCACAGGATGTGCTCTCCAGTGGAAAAGGCTTGTATGAAGAAGCTAGAGCTGGAAGGTAAACAGTTGTCACACCTTGTCTCAGTTCATAGTACTGTTTTCACTGGAAGCTATAACTGAACATGAATGAAGACTGTGATTTGTTGTATTATACATATATCATTACTTTGTTATTATTCAATAATGTTTCCAACACAGAGCATTTAAAATGGACACCTAAAGTTCATCTGCTGTATGTTTAATGTTCTGGTGTCTCTTCAGTTGACAATAGGTGTTTCTTTTTCCTCCTTGATCATTTAAGGAAGAGCTTCAGATATCACTCTCAAAACTGAATAATGAATGTGAAGTAATTAAAAGTACAGGTGTGAAAGACATGAATTCGGATTCAGAATTACATGACTTACGACTTAGGTTGGCGGCAAAGGAGCAGGAACTAAATGAGAGTATCAATGAAAAAGAAATGCTGACAGCTGAGTTAGAAGAATTAGACAAACAGAACCAAGAAGCTACAAAGGTAACAATTGCATTGAAGAGGTCTAAGCAGACAGTGTAATCAGTGGACTGCATAGTGATTAACATACAGAAATGTTACATGTAATTTAATTGTGTGATTTATTAGTATTTTGGTTCATTGATGTTATAGTCAGAGTGATTAACACACTTTGTGCTAGATAGTATGTTTTTGCCTTTGCAAGCCGTATCATCACAGCTGTGATGGTAAACAAATGAGTATGCTGTGTTTCAGTACAGTTGTATTTACAGAAATAGGCAGTGGGCCTATTTGGCCCATGGGCTTTAGTTTGTTAATTCCTGGTAAGAATTGAAATTATAGTCAGGAATTTAGCTCAGTGGTGTCACCACCTGCCTCACAAGTGCAAGGACCCGAGTTCAATCCCTGGTACAAAAACAAAACAGTTGAAATTATATAACATCTATTATTTACTTTTTTTGGTTTTAAATTCTTATTCCTAAAATGGACTGGCTATATTTATAAATAATGTTGCAATGGAAAGTTATTTTTAGAGGATTAGAAATATCTGAGGTGAGTCTTGTGAATAAAATTTTACAAAATGGTCTGCCAGCACTAAAATAAAAAAAAAGTTGTAAAATTACCGTGCAAATTGATTTTTCTTTCAGCACGTGATTTTGATAAAAGATCAACTATCAAAGCAACAAAATGAAGGAGATGGCATTATAAAGAACTTGAAACAAGAGCTAGGTGATGAAAAAAAGAGAAGCCATCAGCTAGAGGATGACAAAATGAACATCATTCGAGAGTTAGACCTGCAGAAAGAAAAGTTCACTCAAAGTGAACTTGTTCTAAAAGATTTGCATTTAACTAAGAAAAAGCTTGAAGAAGAAGTAGCAGATTTAGTAGATCAACTAAGCAAAGCAAAGAAAAATAATTTAAATATCCAGAAGGAGAACTTTCAACTGAAGGAACACGTAAGACAAAACGAAGAGGAATTGTCTAGAGTCAGGAGTAAGTTAACTCAGTCTCTTAATCAAACCTCTAACATTCATTTCAAAGATGACTTACTTAAAGAAAGGGAAAGCGAAATTAGAAACTTACAGCAGAATCTGTCAGAAATAAAACAGCTCAATGAAAATTTAAAAAAAGCTGCTTCTGATCTCAAAATGGAAAATGAAAAGTTGGTTTTAGAATGTGAAGATGTCCGGCATCAGTTGGAAGAATCTATTGCTAGTCATAGTCAAATATCTCAGGAAAGAAACACTGTTGTTGAGACTCTAAAAAGGGAAAAGGGACAAGTAGAAGCAGAAAGGGAAAAAGGAGAGATAGAAGCAGGATGGAGTGTTTTGGAAGAAGCAAACAAGTATAAGCAAACCACTGAGGAGCTGTCAAATGCAAGCGATACCTCTGCCTTGCAATTGGAACATATGCATTTACTTAAACTCAGTCAAGAGAAAGACTTTGAAATAGCAGGACTTAAAAAGAATATGGAGCAAATGGCTAGTGATCATAAAGAAACTAAGGAAATTTTGTCATCTAGTTTAGAAGAGCAGAAGCAACTGACACAAGTCATAAGTGAGAAAGATATTTTTATTGATAAACTTAAAGAAGAGAGTTCAAAGCTACAGGAGGAATTAGCTACATGTTCTCAAGCCTTAAGAAAAAATGAAATTTTAAGGCAGACCATAGAAGAAAAGGACAGAAGTCTTGGGTCTATGAAAGAAGAAAATAATCATCTGCAAGAAGAACTGGAACGACTAAGGGAACAACAGAGTCGAGCTCTGCCTGTGGCTGAGCCTAAAACCCTCGAAAGTGTCACAGAACTAGAATGTGAGGTGTCTCAGTTGAATATAATCAAAGATCATCTGGAAGAGGAGATTAAACATCATCTCAAGATAATTGAAGATCAAAACCAGAGTAAGATGCAACTACTTCAGTCTCTGCAGGAGCAGAAGAAGGAAATGGATGAGTTTAGATACCAACATGAGCAGATGAATGTCACACACACCCAGCTTTTTTTAGAGAAAGATGAAGAAATTAAGAATTTACAAAAAACAATTGAACAAATAAAATCCCAGTTGCATGAAGAAAGACAGGATATTCAAACAGAGAGTTCTGATATTTTTCAAGACACTAAGGTTCAGAGTCTTAACATAGAAAATGGAAGTGAAAAGCATGACTTATCTAAAGCTGAGACTGAGAGATTGGTGAAAGGAATAAAAGAACGAGAGTTGGAGATTAAACTTCTAAATGAAAAGAATATATCTTTAACTAAACGGATTGATCAGCTGTCCAAAGATGAGGTTGGCAAACTCACTCAGATTATCCAGCAGAAAGACTTGGAAATACAAACTCTTCATGCTAGAATTTCTTCAGCTTCTTATACCCCGGATGTTCAACAGCAGCTGCAGGCCTACAATATGGAAAGAGAACAAGTATTCGCTGTTTTAAATGAGAAGACAAGGGAAAATAGCCATCTAAAAACTGAATATCACAAAATGATAGATATCATTGCTGCCAAAGAAGCAGCCCTCACTAAGTTGCAAGATGAAAATAAGAAACTGTCCACTAGATTTGAAAGCAGTGGCCAAGATATGTTTAGAGAGACTATTCAGAATTTATCACGTATCATTCGAGAAAAAGACATTGAAATAGATGCATTGAGACAGAAATGTGAGACTTTATTGGCTGTTTTACAGACTTCCAGCACTGGTACTGAGGGAGGTGTTAATAGTAACCAGTTTGAGGAGCTCCTGCAGGAGCGGGATAAGTTAAAACAGCAAGTAAAGAAAATGGAGGAGTGGAAACAGCAGGTGATGACCACAGTGCAGAATCTGCAGCATGAGTCTGCCCAGCTTCAAGAAGAACTTCATCAGCTTCAGGCACAAGTTTTGGTGGACAGTGATACTAACTCTAAGTTACAAGTGGACTACACTGGCCTGATTCAAAGCTATGAGCAGAATGAAACCAAACTTAAAAATTTTGGGCAAGAATTAGCACAGGTTCAGCACAGTATAGGTCAGCTCTGCAATACAAAGGACCTTCTTTTAGGAAAGCTTGACAGTATTTCACCCCATCTCTCTTCTGGCTTACTTAGAGCAAGTACGTCTACTTTATCAAGTGACTCTGCCCAGTTGCTTCAACTAGAGTTAGAAAAGCTAAGAAAATCACTGCAGGAAAAAGATGCAACAATTAGAACTCTCCAGGAAAATAATCACAGATTGTCTGATTCAGTTGCAGCTACCTCAGAGCAAGAAAGGAAAGAATACGAACAAACCGATTCAGAAATTAAGCAGCTGAAAGAGAAACAAGAGGTTTTACAGAACTTACTTAAGGAAAAAGACCTCTTAATCAAAGCCAAAAGTGATCAGTTACTTTCTTCAAATGAAAATTTCACTAACAAAGTTAATGAGAATGAGCTTTTGAGGCAGGCAGTAACAAACCTGAAGGAGAGAGTATTAATTTTAGAATTGGAAATTGCTAAACTAAAAGTGGAAAATGAAAAAATAATCGAAACATCCATGGCAAAAGAAACAGAATACCAAGCATTGCAAGAGACTAACATGAAGTTCTCTATGATGCTTCGAGAAAAAGAATTTGAATGCCACTCAATGAAAGAGAAGGCTCTTGCTTTTGAGCAACTGTTGAAAGAAAAAGAACAGGTATGTTCTGGATGGAGTTTGTAGAAGAGTGTGTGCTTCTTAAATATTGTATTACTTGAGGATAATATAAACTAAATATTTTCTTTCAGTTTTCTCCATAGAATTTAAATATATCTTTAGGCTATTACAGGTTGAGCATTCCCGATCCAAAATAAAAATTTTGAGTGCTGATGTTATAGATTTTAGGCTTTCAGATTAGGATGGTCAACCAGTCAAGTCTAATGAAATATTTCAAAATGTAAAAAAATATAAAATTGAAAATACTTTTGGTTCCAAGTATTTTGGATAAGAGATAGTCTGTATTTTGACGATAATAATATCTTTTTTTAGAGAGGCGTGTATGTTCTTAAATGATTTTCAAATCTATTTAACTTCTCAAGTATTTGTTCTTTGTAATATGAAAAAGAGAAGTTAACTGAAAACTTTGGAAAATAATTGTACTCCCTATATAGGAGTATGCATTGAGATACGTGAAGGGAACATACAGCATACAGTTTTACCTTTTGGTTTCATTGATTTATCCTGGGGGGTTCATTTTGTGTGTGAATGTGTGTGTATTTATATATAGATAGATATAGATATTTTTGTATATATGTATTGATAGATAGATATTTGTATCTATGTATATTTGGTTTTTTTCTTTTTTAAAATATTTTTTTATTTTTATCTTTTGGTACCAGGGATCCAACTAAGGACCTTGCACTTGTGAGGCAGGTGGTGGCACCACTGAGCCAAATCCCTGGCTTTTCTTCTTTTTTAAAATATAGGATCTTACCACGTTTCCTAGGCTGGTCCTGAACTCCTAGGTGCAAGTTATTCTCTTGGCCTTACTTTTTTTATTTTTATTTTTTTCTTTTTGCGGTATCAGGGATCTAACTTAGGACCTTGTGCTTTTGAGGCAGGCATGGTGCCTCTAAGCTAAATCCCTGGCTTCATGGCCTTACTTTTGCAGTGAAGGATTATCTTTTTTGCTGTTGTTAATATATGGGCTGCATTCAGAATACAACTTCATTACTGTCTAGCTAGATATTATTCCAGACTTACTTTTGCTAAATGGTTGCCAAGTGTTCTTTTGAAATAGGCTGCACTACCACGTGTCTTCCCCTTCTCCCTTCTGCTGGCCCCTTAGCAGTGTTACTTTCCCTGACAGTTATGCTGCTTGAGAATGGACACACACACACACATACACACGCAAGAATAAATATATTTCATTGATGATTTGGGGATTTGTGAAAACTTTATTGTATGGAGTAATTTGGAAATATTTGGGGGGCTGCCATTTAAGATATTTCTAACACCCACTGTGGTGGTGCACACCTGTAATCCCAGTACTTGGAAAGCTGAGGCAGAAGGATCATCATGACTTTGAGGCCAGTTTGTACTACCTAGTGAGTTAAAGGCCAGCCTAAACAGTGTAGTGAGACCCTGTCTCAAAATCAAATCAAAACAAAAACATGTCTAATAACTGGGTATGAAGATACACACTTGTAATCCCAGAACTCTGAGAGGCTGAGGCAGGAGGATCAAAATTTCAAGACTAACTTTGGCAACTCAGCAACTTACTGAGACCCTGTCTCAATAAAGAAAAGGATAGTGTAATAAACCCTTTCTTTTAGAGTAGTTTTATATTTGTAGAACATTTGCAAAACTTTGGAGAGTCCTCACATACCTCACACCTAGTTTATCTTATTCTTAGCATTTTGTATCATTCTAGTATATTTGTCAAAGCAATGAACCAGTCATGAGGCATTATTATTTACTAAAGTTCACACTTCATTCAAATTCAAATTCTTTAACTTTTACCAAATGTCTTTTTCCTGTTCCATGCTGCCATCTAGGATCCTGCTGATATTTAGATGTACCTCTTTAGACTCCTTAAGACTGACATTCTTTGAGCCTTTCCTTGTTTTTGTTATCTTGACATATATTATATATATCAGGGATTGAACTCAGGACCTTGTGCTTGCAAGGTAGGTGTGGTGCCACTGAGCTAAATCCCTGGCCCAGTTAACTATATTTTAAAATAAATTATTTAATTAAGAGAATGTCTTTTTTAAAATATATTTTAATGCCAGGCATGATGGCACACACCTGTAATCCCAGCCCTTGGGAGGCCAAGTCAGGAGAATCACCATGAGTTTGAGGTCAGCCTGGACCACATCACATAGTGAGTTCAAGGCCCTGTCTAAAAAACAAACAGAAATATATTTTAGCCATGGGGCAGTATGCTCAGGTGCAGGTCCTGAGAGCCACCAGTGTGGAAGCAGTGACAATGTGGTTCGGATTCAGGCACCTCAGGGTTCACCTTGACTGCCTGTGCTCAGGTCCATAGTCAGCACTGGGCTTCCTGTATCAGTGGAACTGTTTCCTGTGGAAGAGATGTGGAAGGCAGCCCAGTTAGGTTAGGGGGAAGTTTGGTGGGTTTGGACTGTCATCTTTGAAGCCTTGTCTACAGGCTGTACCAGCACCACAGCCTACATAAGCATCCACAATATGTGCGCCTGGGTGATTGATAGCTTTGGAACTGGGGAACAGACACACAAAATTTTGCCCATAGCTCTGTACCATGGAGAAATTTGCCTCCTACCACCTCACTGAACCAGGAAGTGGGAGTGATACCACACCTCTTTTTGACCTTTGCTAAACAGTAATAAGATTGTTACATCCTCAGTGGCAGGGACAGTAAATCAGACATCTGCATGGTTATGTGCTGAATCAGAAGACAAAGCCCCAAAGGTGTCTTGTGCATAATTGTTGAAAAGGGGCCCCTGGCCTCAACTTTGGCCAGAAGCAAAAAAGGTGGGGGGTACTTATAGCCAACCTGAGCTGTAATGTCCTGTGGCCAACAGAATTGGAAGAAAGGGATATGCAGGGTGGATCAGCATTGCTTCCTGCTCCCTTGAGACTGCTCATGCTTCACTCATCCTGACCTGAGACAATTTCAGTGTCCACAAGCAGTTTGGAGTGCCATTGACCAGGAGTCCATAGCTGCAATTCCAGTGGGCAGGCCCGGCGTCAAGGCTGGTGGCTGCATAGCTGACGAACTGTGCTGTAGCAGTCGCTCTGCAATGGCACTGTGCTCCATGACCAAGCTGTTTGCTGCAGAGGAAGTCTTCGCTGTCTGCAAGCAGGCTCTACAGATGCACAGAGGCTGTGGCTGCCTGAAAGATTATGCTGTTTGTCTGTATTTGTAGAACTCATGGTCCATTAAACTCTGGTAGACAAGCTATGAAGTGATGATGCCAATCTCTTGAAGCCTGCTTCGGGAGTGGCACACCTATGCTTGGTTTCTGGCATGGTGTTCAGTGTGTCGCTTCAGTTAGAGTTGAGTGGTTCCATGTGTGCTCCTGAGTTCCAAATGAATCATGAATTATTAGATTGAAGGACTGAGCTCTTCTAGGGTAGAACCTGTGCTGTGTTGGTAGCAGTGCTGGCTTCAGACTGGAGCAGAGTCCTCAGTAGAACTAGGAGAGTTACCCTGATAAAAAATGCCACAAGAAGACCTACCACCTCATTTTTCAAATGTGGAAAAACAGCCACTGACTGTTCAGAACCAGAGTCATGTCTTGGGCCCTCATTGTCTTGATTTGTCTTAATTTTTCTGGTTCACTGGATTCCTCTCTTTCTAGCAGCTTGGGTACTTCACTGAAAGTTTTCCTCCTTATAGAGCAAAGGTTAGGGGAATGAGAATGCCCTCCTGTCTCTCACTGTTCTTTATGCAGCATCAGTATATCTGGACAGCACACCTCTGAGTATAAATCATGGTAAAGTGAGTGTTTGGGAAAACTCTTAAGCCATGATTTCGAGTGTATCCACTTCTGGACTACCAGAACATCAAGGGCTGAGATTATTTGGAAATTTGAATATTTGATGTTTTTCTTTCTGAGAAGGCAATGTTTCAAGAATGGTGTCCAAGGTTTTTATAACCCTTCTTGATAAGTACTTTGAGTATATTTTCTGAGTTTCTGTTTCCTTTTTTGGAGTTGCTTTTCTTTTTAAATATTTTTAAATATATTAATAAATATACATCTTTTTGTACTGTCAAGAAAAAGTGTTTTACTTTAAAGCTTAAAGGTATTTCTTTCCAATAGGGCAAGACTGGGGAGTTAAATCAGCTTTTAAATACAGTTAAAGGAATGCAGGAGAAGACGGTTACATTTCAACAGGAGAGAGACCAAGTCACATTGTCCCTGAAACAGAAACAAATGGAAAACAATGCCCTACAGAATGAGGTATATTTTCAACTTGAAGTAACAGTGAATCAAACAATAAATTTCATAAGTAAGATAACTACAAAGACTGTCAAAACAAATTCATCTCTGGGCCAGGGATGAAGCTTAGTGGTTCTGCCACCCACCTCACAAGCACAAGGACCTGAGTTCGATTCCCAGTACCAAAAACAAAAAAAACAAATTCATCTCTGTTCACTTTTTATCCTCCTATGTGCTATATCCCAGGGTGCATTTCATTTGTTTTCAAAAGTGAAAATCATGACGTATTCTTGATAAAAGAAAAAAATTCTCTCTTATACTATATGAAGAAACAGATTTTACAGAAAGAATAGTCAGTAACGATATAGCTCAGGACTTTTGTATAATTCCATTTTCCATTTTACCCATACAGCAAGTGAGGTCTTACAAAGTAACACTTTTGGATGAATATTCAAGATTATTTCAGGAGAATTTGTTCGTAGCATAAATATATCTTGTGAAATATTAGTATACAATTAATAAACTTCAATAATGGGAAAAGGATTTGGTAATACAGTGGTTTACAGCAGGAGGGGGGAAGTGTAGTGATGAGGGAGCATTGTGTAGAAAAAAAATAAAGAAATGTCCTCTACCTAGGTTCAACATTTACGTGACAAAGAATTACGGTTAAACCAGGAACTAGAGAGATTGCGTAACCATCTTTTAGAATCAGAAGATTCTTATACCCGGGAAGCTTTGGCTGCAGAAGATAGAGAGGCCAAACTAAGAAAGAAAGTCACGGTATTGGAGGAAAAGCTAGTTTCATCCTCTAATGCAATGGAAAATGCGAGGTAACTTTTTCATTTTTGCATTGACTTTATCTGAATACATCTTGAGTGTCAGAGTCAGTTGGCATTTTTTGTGTATTAGCTCATTTTCACAACATTCTTTGTCTCCATTTTACAGTGAAGGAATTGAAGGTAAAGCAATTTAAATCCCTGACCGAACTCAGGCACACGTACACTGTGTGGGAGTCTCTCACTTGATCCTGTGACTCTTAAATAGATCTAGCTTTCAAACTGTGCCCCTTCAGCACTATCCTAGATAATTGGCTCTTGTCCTTTTAGGAGAATAGTCTGAGGTTCAGCTCATTTCACACAATCATGATGGGGCTGTAATTCACATATCTCACTGCCAGGTAGTTCTGAACCACTGGTGGTACGTGCATGACTGCCCCATCAGATGTCACGGGACAGTCAAGCATGACCACTGCTGATTCAGGCCAGTGTGAATGTGATTATGAGTTATGTCCAGCTCCCAAAGAACTAACTTAATTTACATTGTTTATTTTTTAGTCAAATAATTTAAGGTTGAACCATATATGAATACAAGAAGGGAAAGGGTAGAAAAGTAAGGGTAAGGACCTCAGTAAGGATAAACAACTAACTTTGGACTTATTAGAGCTATTGAGTGACCAAGATTGTATTTTATAATTTTATTTCTCTCTCTCTCTCTCTCTCTGTCTCTCAAAAAAAATTTTACTTTTTTAAAATGTATTTGTTACAAAACATTATATTATCTATTTCAGGAAAATCATTTAAACTAAAACAACATAAAACAGCCACACCTATCCAAGACAATCCTTTTTTATGCATTACACTTGTATATATACATTCTATATCTTTTTTAAAACAAAAATAAGATGATACTATTAATACTGTTTTATAACTCTTTTATGACTCAGTAGTATGAGTATTAGCATACATTAAGCCACACAACTGCAATAAAATATGGCAAGTAGCATACAATTATTTATACCTTTTTTTTTAATTGAGTTTACCCTCCCCACTGGAGGAAAGATAGCCTCTTTAATAAATGGTGTTGAAAAAACTGGATCTCAACCTGCCAAAGATTAAAACTAGACCCTTATCTTTCACCATGCACTAAATTAAAATCCAAGTGGATTAAAGATCTAAATATTAAAACAATTATTTGGATTTGACATAATTTCTTTAGCCTAGTCATTTGTTATTGTGCAAATAGAGTGTTTCAACTTTGCAGAGTCACTGAGAGCTTTCATGATATCCTGAGACTTATATTTTTTTTGTAGAGGACAGATTATTCTTTTGTGTAAATTTTTAACAATAGAATCTTGAAACTCTCCTCTTTTCAAAAATCAATCTTCTAGGGTCAGGGATGTAGCTCAGTGGTGCTGTCACCTGCCTTGCAAGTGCAAGGTCCCAAGTTACTTCCTGGTACAAAAAAAAAAATCAGTCAGTCTCGGTCCCAGGCTACCTTCTGCATTAGCTTTATTTCCACATTGAGGCAAACTGTATTGCACAGCTCCTTGTAGATACTGTTTCCATATTTTTTTCTACCTTTTCATATCCTTTCTTTTACCTGAGTAATAGGTCTGGTCCCTGACAGTTTTTCTGTGAATCCCACCTACCCTTCAAATTCCATTTGTTTTGCAAAGGGTGCTTTATTTAGTACCCCATTCCTAATGTCCATAAATAAGCCCTGTTGTGATATCTTTCTTTTAAACTTGCATAATCTTTGATAGGACACTTAATGTTTTACTTTAGGGTACAGATAATTATTGACCTAGTTTATACTATCTCTCATCCAATAAAATGTGAGCTTAATAAGGTGTAGGAATGATGCTATTCATTTTATACCCTTCCCACAACATATATTACAAATAGTACAGTGAAAATTTGTTGTATGAGCCCAAATCTGGAAATCAGATTGTGATGTTTGGGGCCCTTACTTAATACTTGCTGTTTATTAACTTTTTGAGTGCTTTCATAGGTTAGTTTATTCCTACAATCATTCTTTGATTTGCTAACCAACAATATTGATGAAGTCCAGGAACACTTAGGGCAAAAAATCGTATCCTCTTACAGCTCTTTACAGAAGAGAGTACTTTTGGGCGGAGTGTCTTAAACACAAACTGATCTTAATGAGCATTAATGGGCCGCTCTTGAGTAAAAATTTATGTAGATATTAAATACCCATGAAGATCTTTGCAGTATTTTGAATGTAATAATTATAGTAAATTAAGGATGTATAACAGTGACCATAAACTTATATAAATAAATCTCTGAGGGATTTCTGGGTTATTATTTAGGCAGTGGGAGGTTTATTGTATTTGATGTAGGCAGAAAGAAATATAACAGCAAAAGATAAGCAGAGCAGTTTGTCAGTGGGATGGGAAGCCTTTGGAAACTTTGAGTTTACTATGATGATAGGTGTCAAAAGTGAGGGGTTGTCATACAATTCATTCCTTATTATTCTGGTAACTGACAAAATGACTTCAAAGATCATTACAACTTAAAATTCTATGCTAAATTATATCTGAGAGTTTTATTCCAGAAAGATGAAAGTTGCAGTTTGTGAATTTTTTCTTTTGCTGATGTTCTTGGTTAGTCAAATTCCTAGGCTTTGAAAGAATTAGCAGTTGTTCAGAGTCACTTGCACAGGAAAGATGATTGAGTTAAAAGAAACAAGGGGCCATGGATTTAGCTCAGGGGTGCTGGGCCTGCCTTGCAAGTGCAAGGTCCTGAGTTGGATCCCTGGTACAAAAAACAAAAAAACAAAAAACCCAAAAAACCAAAAAACAAAGATCAGAGGAAAGTTTTCAGATCTAACTTGAATTTAATGGAATAAACTAGAAGGTGAAATCAGTAGAGACAGACAGTTGAATACTAATTTCCAGAGCAAGGGGGAGTTGTTATATATTAGAGATGAAGTTTCAATGTGAGAAGATAGGAAAAACTCTAGAGATGGATGGTACTTATGACTGTACATTTTGAATGTACTTGGTGCTTCTGACATGGCTGCCTGAAAATGGTTAAGTTGTAAATTTGAAGTTCTATTTTACCACAGTAAAAAGAAAAGTAGGGAAGAGGGAAGGTGTTTTTGTCTTGTTAACAGCATTTCTAGCCAGGTGTGGTGGTGGCACATGCCTGTAATCCCAGCACTCAGGAGGCTGAGACAGGAGAATTGCCTTGAGTTTGAAGCCAGTCTGGGAAAAGTAGCCAGACTGGTTTCAAAATTCAAACCAAAAAAAGTATCTCTAAAATGTTTGAAATCTAACTAGAATTTGAATTTAACACAGTAAGATGCAAAGGAAGTAAATAGAATCAGTTTGACTTTGACTTTTTTTTTTTAAGTCATCAAGCCAATGTGCAGGTAGAATCATTGCAGGAACAGTTGAACATGGTCTCCAAGCAGAGGGATGAAACTGCACTGCAGCTTTCTGTCTCTCAGGAGCAAGTGAAGCAGTACGCTATGTCATTAGCCAACCTGCAGATGGTTCTAGAGCACTTCCAACAAGGTAAGCTGCGTGGATTTCTTTCAGTGAAGAAAGTCATAGCAGTTGGTAATTTTGCCTTTTTATATCCTGGTTCACACAAGGTATAAGGAAATCTTTGAAAGGTTCTATCTAGCTTGTAGAAGGGAAAGGTAAATAGCCATCAACAAATAATTTAGACTACTTTTTCACTTAAGACTGGAGAATCTTATGACTAGTTAAGTCAAAAATTGATGGTAATGGTAAAAAAGAGTAATTGAGTATTAAAGGGGAATACAAAGAAGGGTGAGATGTTCACATAGAAAATGCTGATTTCTCCGGAGATTGAACCCTCTTCAGAGTGTTAATCAGTAATTGAAATATTTGTTAGATAACTATCCATCTGTACGTTGATAACCACTTTTTTTTCTTTTGATGGTACTAGGGCTTGAGTCCAAGGGGAGCACTCTACCCTTAGCTGTACCCCAGCCTGTTTTATTTTATTTTGAGACAGTGTCTCACTAGAGTTGCCAAGGCTAGCTTCAAACTTGTGATCCTCCTACCTCAGCCTCTTGAGGAGCTGGGATTATAGATGTGTGCCGTGGTGCCTGCTGGCCTACGTTTTCGAGTCACTCCAAATTACATTTTGGAGGATACAGAAATAATAATCAGAGCTGTTTAGCCCTGAGCACCAAATAAGCTTTTTCACATTCTACTACCTGTCTTTAGATTTATCTCCTTCAGATCATTCACCCATCTACTCATCCATTCGTCTATTCATCCGTTCAGTAAGTATTGACAGTGGATCAACTGCTAATTGCATAAAGGGTGTGAGAGTAATGTAGTAACTGACAGGTTTATAGTTTTGTCCCTAATAAAATGTTGTATTTCTACTTGTGAGTCCCTTCAGGGTTACTTACATGGTTGAAATTTTGAATTTTAAATATAAAAATTCTCTAGGTTTACTTTATAGTACCATTGTGAAAGTGTGTATGGTACTGAGGCTGCTAAGGAGGAGCATTTGAGTGCAGCAATGAAGGGAGGGAAGAACCTGCCACATAGACTACATGGTGAAGGATTTAGGAGAGGAAACAGTGATCTCGTTACTCCAGTTGCGCTTAGCATGGTCTCTGTATCATTTCCTTTTCTGAGATGCTTACACTTTTTTGTTGAATTACTACAGTATTGAGTGGTTTAAAATTCTGGTTTTATCATATGGTTGCAAAATATTAACTTTCTTTTTAGAGGAAAAAGCTATGTATTCTGCTGAATTAGAAAAGCAAAAACAACTTATAGCTGAATGGAAGAAAAAGGCAGACCATCTAGAAGGAAAGGTGTTATTTTTACAGGTATGTTTATAGTTTTCTCTTACGTATTTTACTGCTCAGTAATTGCTTTACATGTTATTTGAGTTGCCTCTCTGTATCTATCCCTCACTGGGCAGAACAGTGAACAAGATTCTAAGGATTTCCTTGGGCAACTTAAAACTTTGAGTAGACATTGTGAATGTGAGATGAAAGGACATTGGTTTTTTTTTAGCACATATGGATATTTTATAAACCCAAATTTATCTACAAAGTTAACTTTCTCTTTTAAGCAAAGTGTATTAGACACTATGCTGCACACAGATTCAAATGATGCGTATTATCCAATTATGTGTATTATCTCCTTTGTAGCATCATCCTTTAAATGATTTTTCTCTTTATTATTATGCTATACTCTATATGCGCAAAATTGTATAAATAAAACAAACCATTATGTATAGATATCACACCGAAAAAGCTTGCTTTTAGGTTTTTTTCAGAAACTTTTCTAAGTCATCAATAGACTCTGGCAAAAACTGGAAAAAAATAGTAAAATTCATTTACCTTGTTTGTTTTTGGTTTTTTGAGACAGGGTCTCACTATGTAGTTGAGGCTGACCTCGAACTCACTATGTAGTCCAGGCTGGTCTCGAACTCACAGCAATCCTCCTGCCTCAGCCTCCCAAGTGCTGAGATTACAGGCGTGCACCACCACGCCCTGCTAAAATTCATTTACCTTGAATCCATAAAAAAACATGCTGTTTAGTCATGTTATTATCTCAAGTAAGCATATATATTAGTTCCTATAAAGTTTAAAATTTTTTCTTAAATATTGACTGCAAATAATTTTAAAAATATATAAATATAAAAATATAAATTTATCAAATGCTCACATATTTACCCAGAGTAAGTAGAATGTCATCCTTTGAAGTTTTTTATCCACTCTTCTACATCTCATCTCCATCCTACCAGTTCATGCATAAACCAGTGTTTTACTACTGCCCAGTTTATTGATAAAGGTCATTTTAGATATCATCTGTACCAACAGTGTGGTTACGTACTTCCTTATTTATGTCTCCTCATACACACGTATAAGAATTTCTTTCGGGAGTGTCTTTTGATTGCTGAGTTATAAGACCTGTGTGAACAGCGTTTTATATTTTTGCCATACTGATGGGTGGGATTTGTCTTAGTGAGTTTTGTGCTGCCATTACAGAGTACCACACATGGGAGATTTGTAATGGAAAGAAATGTATGGGCCAACACTTCTGGGTGCTGGAAAGCCCAAGCTTGAGGAAGCAGTGTTTAAAATGGACATTTTTGTTTTTGTGTTTTTTTGCGGGGGGTACTGGGGATCGAACTCAGGTCCCTGTACTTGCAAGGCAGACAACGGAACCACTGAGCTAAATCCCTGGCCCTAAAATGGGCATTCTTGCTATAGCATCCATTCGTAGGAAAGCAAAGAGGAGCCAGAGAGAAAGAGGGACAAAGAAAGAATAAAATGTGGTTGAACTTGTCCCTTTATAAAGCAACCTTTCTGCAGTAATGGTGCTAATCCATTCATGAGAGCAATGACCCCGGGGCCCTACCCCCAACACCACCATACTGAGGTTCAGGTTTCCAACACATGAGCTCTGGGGAACACATTTAACCACAGGAAAACTCCCTTCTTGTAGTTGTAATTTGCATTTCCCTGGTTACTCATCAGGGCACGCATCTTTTGTTCAGTGACCATGTATGCTTACTTGTCAGTTCATTAATGCACTAAAGAGAAGATAAATTTATCCAAATCTTTCAGTTGTTTGGAGTGATCCTTGAGTTTCTTGTCTGCCAAATGTTTAAGATGATTTTAAGTTTATTTACATTGTCTTTATAATAAATTTAGTTTTATGGATTTGGAAAAATACATTTTTAGGTAAATGGTTTTGCATTTAGTCCCTCTGTGTATCAGAAAGGTTTCAGTCCTTAGGACAAGAGCCAGTAGGGTGTGTGTGTGTACATGTGCATATATGTGGATGTACGCATATGTGATTACTAGCCACATAGGGACAGAGGCTGCTAAACCAGTCTGAAGTTGTAAGGCTCACAATCAAGGCCCAAATTCATAAGCCTAGGCCAGTGCTGCTGTCCACATTCAGTGAGGAAAGTCATAAATGGGATGGAACTCAGGAGCACAGGTCGAAGCTGCTGTCCGCAAAAGGATTTTTTTGTGTGTGTGTGTCTCTTTTTTTTGAAAGCATAAGCTTTACTTTGAAGAACTGCTAACTGGTTCAGGCCCCCTGAATTCTCCAGGATAATATGTCTTTCTTTGTTATGTTTTGGTTTTTTTGGTACCAGGGATCGAACTCGGGTCCTTGAACTTGCAAGGCAGGCGGCAGAACCACTGAGCTAAATCCCTGGCCCTAATATGTCTTTCTTGCACCTAAGTGATTAAGGACATTGAATACATGTGCAGAGACACCTTGAAAGCAGTATATAGATTATGTTTGAGCTGAGGACTGTAGTCTATTAAAGATAACATATCAAAAAAGTTATCACTCTGAAAACTTGGCCTGAAATTACATGGGTAAATTCTCCAGAGAAGTGGTACAAAAAAATGACAAATGTAAGAGTAAGGAGGTGCTTGCCAATGAAACTGTAAACCAATAAAATATTGACTAGGTTAGTGTAACAAGGAGAATACAAAAAATAGGGCCCATAATATATTAAAAAATTTTAAACTAAACCCTAAACTATTTTAATTTAATGAGGAAGAGGATAGCTTATCTAATAAATGATATTGGCAAACTATCCATAAATAAAATTGGACTCCAACTTACACCATATACCAAAATATTCACCTATATTAAAGCAGTGATTTTCAGCTGGGAGTAGTATTGGATATCTAAATATATTTTTGATTATTGCAGTGACTGTGTGGTTCTAAAACTTAGGAGGCTAAGAATTGTCAAAAGCACTCCCACTGAACATTACATTAAAGATTGAAATATTAAAAAAAACAAATTCTCTAATAATGAAATTTAGTAGATTATGTGTATGGTCTTCAGACAAGGAAAATCCTAACCAAGACTAGACACAAAAAGGTGAAAGGGCAAACTAGCACACTTTTTTGTACAGTTTGAAAATGTTTAAATAGTAACAGCTAATATAATCAGGAGACAAATGGCAGATCTCATGAACAATATTTGTATAGCACAGGTGACAAAGTACAAGTGACTTTTACAAATTGACCCAGGAGGCAGCTTAGAAAAACACATATGCAATGTGTGCAAAGAGATTTTCACGCAAGGATAGATTCAACTCAGCTATCCTGTATGCAGGACGAAAATGCATGAGTGATAGTCATGGAAGTAAAAATTAATGTAATGAAGTCTTAATGAAATATTACTTTATGGAACAAGAACATTTCTTGCTCTAGTTCATGGGGACCTTTTATTTTTATGTCTTCTTGTTACTTTTATTTTTGGTACCAGGGATTGAACTTGGGTCCTTGCACTTGTGAGGCAGATGGCAGAACCACTGAGCCAAATCCCTGGCCCCTTCTTGTTACTTTTTCTTTTCTTTTTTTTTTCTTTATTTTTTTTTTGGGGGGGGTATCAGGGATCAAACTCAGGTCCTTGCAAGTTGTCTTCTAGTAAAATCTCTTTATAGTTTCTCTAAAACAGACAGTGTTACATTGTGAAAAATGTATCTCTGATATTCATTTAGTTGCATGAACTTGTCCAAGGTCACAGATGTGAAGTTTCATCAGCTAAAATGGAAAGGGTGATTCTAATACGTCTCCAAGCTGTATGGTTTATAGAACAGTTTTTGCATACTGCTTTTTCATATCCATTTCCCCCTCAGGAGCATTTGGATGAAGCAAATGCTGCTCTGGATTCAGCATCAAGACTTACAGAACAGTTGGATGTAAAGGAAGAACAGATTGAAGAACTTAAAAAACAAAGTAGGCTTTTCCCTTTTCCTTTGTTCTCCCCAACAGTGCTCTTGTCGAATCAGGTGTACCCTTCTGCCATGCTTTGGTAGAGCTGAATGAAACCATTGGTGTGTGGCTTCCATTTCCATCTTCTGTACTGGATTTGCTTCAATTTCTGTCCGATCTTTGTGAAATCAGAGTCATTAAGGTGGCCCTGGCTGTCCACTTAATTTTCCTGGATGTTGAGAAAAATGCTGTTGTGTGCCTTGTTACTCTTATAATGAACCAAATTGACTTGACTGATCCAACTTATGGTTATGGCTTTTCCCTGATCAGTTCACATGCATCCTGCCTGAGGCTGTTTTACTGGTTATAGAGGGTGATATTCTCAAGTATAATGGAATAACTTTTTGTGAAATGAAGTGTCTGCATATAACTAGGTTTAAAAAATTTTAGTTTAAATTTTTGTTCTTTATTCTTTGTATCAATGTTAAGAAATTAAAATTTTCCTAATACTGGTATATAGATAATATCTAAAAGTGGCACCAAAAAGTGATGTTTTCAAAATAATATTGAATAATCTCTTTAAATGCAATTAATATTTTATTACTACTACTACTGCTACTACTACTACTACTATTATTATTATTATTATTATTATTATTATTATTATTATTGTACCAGGGGTTGAACTCAGCTCCTTGCACTTGTGAGGCAGGCACAGTGCCACTGAGCTAAATATCCGGCCCTTAATTCTTATTTTAAAGAAAGGCAATACTAAATACAATAAGCTACATAGCAGCCCAAACTACCGGCCTCCTCTGGAGCCACGCTGTTTCCAGCAGACGCCAGTGATTGGCTCTGACACAGCTCCAGGCAGGTGAGTTTTGTGTCATTGCCCCAGCTTGGACTCAGAGCCACCTCTGTGGCACGGCCGGGCCCGAACTACAGGCCTCCTCTGGAGCTGTGCCGTTTCCAGCAGGCACCACTGATTGGCTCTGACACAGCGCCAGGAGCTGTGCAGGTGCCGCTGAGCACTGCCCCCAGCTGTTAGATCCCCTTATTGAGCCAGTCCTTGGACACACTCTGCAGAGGCATGGCAGCTATAAAGGGTGGTGATTGATCCTATTAGATTCCTGATTGTATTGATAGGGATAAAGGATAGGGATTGATTTCATGAGTTGTTTTCTCAATTATGAAAATGAGAATATCTATAAGTCATTAGAGAATCAAAGACTGGGATGCAACGATATCAGGAAGATTTAATGACCCAGAGATTGAAACAAGGGCAACCCAACAGCAAAAATAAAGATGAGAAAACACTTCAGCAAACCACAAAAACAGACTTCCAGTCCACCAATGGCAAACAGTAGGGCAAAGGAGGATGAAAAATCAGATAGTGAACCTCCAGAACACTCAGAACTCACAGCACAAAAGTAAAAAAAACTGATCAATCAAGCTCTAGAAAAATTCAAAACAAATTATTTACCAGATAACCATAGAGATGGTGATCAAAATGAAAGACATGATTCAAGACTCCAGAACAGAAACTGCAAAAAAATGAGCTTAGGAACGTAATAGAGGCCATGAAGGCCCAGCATAAGAAAGAAATGGAAACAATGAATGTCCAACATAGGAAAGAAATGGAATCCATGAAACAGATTCAAATGGATTATCCAGGAGATTGAAAACTCTATTGAAAGCATACGAAACAGAATAAAAGATTGTGAAGATAGAATCTCAGATATAGAAGATAGGATAGTAGACACTGACCATGAAAAGAAAGGTCTCTTAAACACAGTAAGGGAGCATGAAAAATCAATCCAACAACTCCTACATGATGCAAAGAAGAATAACATAAGACTGATAGGTATCCATGAAGTACCAGAAGAAAATGTAAATGACTTAAAAAAGCTGTTCAAAGAATTAATGACAGAAAACTTCACAAACAGAGGGGAAGAATTAGACATACAGATAAGCAAGGCATATAGGACACTGACTAGCCGTGATAAAAAAAAATCTACATCTAGACATACAATAATCAAGATCCCAGAAACCCAACAGAAGAACAAAATACTACAAGCAGTAAGAGAAAAGAGACAAATCTCATGCAAAGGAAAGCCCATCAGAATCACAGCAGACTTTTCAACACAAACCCTCAGGTCAAGGAGAGCCTGGAGTGAGGTATTTCAAGTCCTAAAAGAAAACAACATACAACCAAGACTGATGTATCCTGCAAAACTCTCTTTCAAAATGGACAGAGAAATAAGATACTTCCATGACAAAGAACACTTGAGAAACTTCATGAATACTAACCAGCATTACAAAGAATTTTAAACAATATCCTAGAAAAAGACAACAAAGATCACAACACCAGGAGGCCCAACAGAGAAAATCAAATAGCCAAGGCAAGAAACTAAAAGGACAGGACAAAAAATAAAAAGAGTCAATAAAAGGACAATAACATGACAATAATAAGTCAGTACATTATCAGTTATAACTATAAATGTCATTGGCCTCAATTCACCAATCAAGAGTAATAGATTGGCAGAATGGATTAAGAAGCAAAATCCAACAATATGCTGTATACAAGAAACACACCTAGTGAAAAAAGAAGCCCATAGACTGAAAGTGAAAGGATGGAAAAGAATTCTCCACGCGACAGGAGCCCAGAAAAAAGCAAGCGTAGCAATCTTATTTGTAGACAAAGCAAACTTCAAACCAAAACTGATTAAGAGAGACAAAGAAGGCCACTACATCCTTGTAAAGGGAACAGTCCAAGTAGAAGAAATGACAATCATAAACATATAAACATATATGCACCAAATATAAATGCCCCCAACTATATAAAACAAATATTAAGTAACATGAAAAACCAAATAACCACTAATACAATGTTAGTGGGGGATCTGAATACCCCACTATCACAAATAGACAGATCATCTAGGCAAAAAAATCAACAATAAAATACTAGAACTGAACCAAGCTTTTGAACGCATGGACTTATTAGACGTCTATAGTGTTCCACCCCACAAAATCAGAATATACATTCTTTTCGGCCACACATGGGTCATTCTCCAAGATAGATCACATACTAGCTCACAAAACAGGTTTGAATAAATGCAAAAAAATTGAAGTTATTCCCTGTATATTATCAGATCACAGTGCAGTAAAGCTGGAGATCAATAGCATAAGAAACTGTAGGAACTTCACAAACACATCAAAATTGAACAACACTCTCCTGAACAATCAATGGATCACAGAGGAAATTAAAGAAATCATACAGTTTTTACAAATAAACAAAAATGCCAATACAACATACAGGAATCTATGGGACACAATGAAAGCAATTCTACATGGAAAATTCATAGCACTGAATGCGCACATTACCAAAACAGAGAGCAAGCTCAAATAAACAACCTAATGATGACTCTTAGACTCCTAGAAAAGCAAGAGCAAGAAAAACCCAAAGCTCGAACAAGAGAGGAAATTATAAAGATTAGAGCAGAAATCAATGCAATGGAAACTAAGAAAATGATACAAAAAATAAATGAATCGAAGAGTTGGTTTTTTGAAAGAATAAATAAAATTGATAAACCCTTAGCAAACCTTATCAAAAAAAGGAAAGAAAAGGCTCAAATTCATGCAATCAGGAATGAAAAAGGCGAAGTCACAACAGATCCCACAGAAATCCAGAGGATCATTAATAACTACTATGAGAACCTGTACTCTAATAAAATGGAAAACACAGAAGAAATGGACAGATTTCTAGATACTTATGAATTACCAAAGTTGAATGAAGAAGATAAAAACATTTTAAACACCCCAGTCACAATAAGTGAAATTGAAAATGTAATTAAAAACTTACCAACAAAGAAAAGCCCAGGTCCTGATGGATTCACTGCTGAGTTTTACAAGACGTTTAGAGAAGAACTACTGCCATTACTCTTCAGACTTTTCAATGAAATTGAAAGGGAAGCAATACTTCCAAATTCATTCCTGGAAGCAAGTATCACTTTGATTCCCAAACCAGGGAAAGATGTAACTAAAAAAGAGAAATACAGGCCAATCTCTTTAATGAATATAGATGCAAAAATCCTCAATAAGATACTAGCAAACAAAATACAGAGGATCATCAAGAAGATCATACATCCTGACCAAGTCAGATTTATTCCAGGGATGCAAGAATGCTTCAACATATGTAAATGAATAAATATAATACACATACAGTGTATATATATAGTTATATTATATAACAAAGTCAAGGACAAGAACCACAAGCTCCTCTCGATAGATGCAGAAAAAGCATTTGACAAAATTCAACTCCCATTCATGATAAAAACCCAGCAAAAAATTGGAATAGATGGTCTATGTCTCAACTCAATAAAGGCTATCTATGAAAAACCAACAGCCAACATCATATTAAATGGCCAAAAACTGAAAACCTTCATGTTAAAATCAGGAAGAAGACAAGGGTGCCCATTATCACCATTCTTCTTCAATATAGTTCTGGACACATTACCCACAGCAATTAGACAAGAGAAAGAAATTAAAGCAATAAAGATAGGAAAGGAAGAAATTAAGTGGTCATTATTTGCTAATGATATGATACTCTACATTGACGACCCAAAAAACTCCACCAAAAGACTTCTTGACTTAATTGACTCTTTTAGCACAGTAGCTGGATACAAGGTCAACACCCAAAAATCAATAGCCTTCTTGTACACAAACAACAGACTCACTGAGAAAGAAATTGGGGAAACAATTCCTTTCACAACAGCACCCCCAAAAAATGAAGTATCTGGGAATCAATCTACTGAAAGAAGCAAAAGACCTCTACACTGAAAACTACAGCACTCTGAAAAAAGAGATCAAAGAGGATATAAGAAAATGGAAAGATCTCCCCTGCTCCTGGGTAGGAAGAATCAATATAGTGAAAATGGCCATACTACCAAAACTGCTATACAGATTCAATGCAATACCAATTGAAATCCCAACACTATACTTCGCAGAACTAGAAAGAAGAATCC